GTTTTTAGTTTAAGTGGCCTGACTGCACAAAATGCAACTAGATCATGTGTAGATTATAACTTGAAACAATTTCATGTGTGCTCTTTCGATTATATTGTTAACAAACTAACTAATCTGTATTAAGTAATATTTACTTCTTGCCTACGTTTTTCCTCTGATAGAACTGTTGCTGCAGTACATTTTTATAGCCTTATGTGCTGTTGATACAGTCAAACTTTTTAGCCATAAATATAAAGGGACACATTGGAGCAAGAATCTAGGCATGGTAGTAATCCTAAAATCCATTCTTGTGAAAAAAGCATAAATTTGTTGGCTTATTAAAAACTCTCTTACCAGGGCAAGATTTGAATAGAGGTTGAACTACTGTATTTTGTGCTCCCTCAGTGCAGGTAAGCCACTATTGTATTTGAGATCAGTCCTTCCTGTATATAACATTAACAGGTCTGCAGAATTTTGGCCTGATGTAATGAGTTATTACTATGCAGCTTTTCCCACCTAACCAAGCATGCGGGATGTAGTGCATTGTGTTACCGTAGCAAGTTGTGGATATGATTCCTGGTTTCTTGCAGCAGTGAGAGATGAATGATAAACTACAGATCCCTACAGGTAGTAAAAATGTGGCATCTATGCTGCAGAATGAGAGAGAGAAACCCGTGTGTGCATCCCTGATGCTTTGATAGGGAGATGGGCACTCTACTTCTTCCTGTAGCTCCCTACCTCACTCCCCTACTCTCTCCACTTCTTTCTTTTTTGGCAAGGAACACAAACAATTCTTCACCTGCTTGTTCGAAAGAATTGGAGGATAACATTTCTTCTAGTCTGGTCCTCACTTGAAGAAAGGTGTTCATTATGCCCACCACTCCCTCATGGACAGGATGGAAAAATACTGAAGTGGGACAACTAGTGGTTTGGAACCACCGCTGGTGGCTGCAACCTGCAACTTAGCTGTGATTTAATGAACTCTGAGGGTCTTACCAAAGCACTTGGAGGGCTATTTGCAACAGACCTCTATCACTAGAGGTGGTGATGGCTATTTTCCCAACATTTAGTCTCTTTCCTTGCAAATCTCTGGGCTCTGGAGTTTTAGCCTTCCCCAACCAGGTTGGACTCCATTTGAAGTCACAAGGGCTTGTTTGTGATTCCACACCTGCTTGTCCCTACATGATGGTAGTAAATGGAAGCAGGACTACTTGTCATTATTTCATTCTTGTTTGTGGTTAAGGAATTCCACTAATTGCTGGGGTGGGAGGGGAAATAAACTGTCTATAACCACAAGTCCAGGATCTCAAAAGTTCTTGAAATCTGGGAATGTTAGAAGTAAAAAAACACGGTCTGAATAGCAGTTGTAAATTTTTTTTTCTAATTTGCTTCCAAAACTTGATACAGAGGTAACTTTACCTGGACAGTGAACACTGCTATTAAGTGCCACTAATAAGTGATAATGTTACTTATTTTTCCTATTTAAAACACTCTTGCATAGCAGTTTACCCCCATTTACTTGAATAGAAGACTACCCTGAATATAAGATGACCTCCCAATAGATTCTATATATGGAAAATGTAAAAATTTGTTATAATTATCTAGGTATAAAATCAAATTATTGGAGGTTTGCCTTGAATTTGTCGGCCCCTCCCCCACTACAGCAAGGAAAATAAATCGGCGGGGGGGGAGAGGGGGATCAGGTAGCCCTTTGCTTTCTGCTTCCCTCCAGTTTTTTCCCCATGCAGCCCCTTCCCACTCTCCTTGACT